TGGGAAGGACCCATTTTTTAGAGGACTTGGTGAGTCTTCTTCCTTATATCAAAGGTGATCTATAGGGAGAGAAAAGTTTATGATGGTTAGTAGGTCTCACGTACCTTCTCTTAGTTTTCATTTAATATGAGTTTTAATGGGCAAATAAAAAAGGAGAAGGCAAGTATTGGTCTATAACTATATTATTAGCTTTTTCTTGTTTTATGATGTAAACATATAACATCAAAGGATCTTCCTGAGTAATGTCCAGACTTGAGAGCTATGAGAGGCAGATTCATTTCTTTGTCATGATTTTTTTTCTCTTTTAAGTAGTATTTAGCATTCCTGGTTACCCAATCAGCAGACAGTTCTGGGGCAATCCTGAGCTGCCCTGCCAACAGATCAAAAGGAAGACTTGCATGGGGTTCTGAGATACGTTTATTTACAAATCTGCAAGGTGAAAAGAAAAGGTTGAACTTACTGCCATTCAGAAAGACCAGGCATATGGAAACTCTGGCCTGTAGACACCTCCCTCTGGCTCATAACACCTCCTTGGATTCGTTGAAGGGGCAGAGTTTGGCCTCCAAGCACTGCCCCTGGAAGAATCCTGTTACTATCATTGAACTGTGATAGCAGCAGGGATTTTACTGCATGCTGTTTAGGTGAGTGAGGTGCAAAGGAATCCTAACTGCTATCTTTGATCAAAGATTAGAGAGCAAAATGGGGATGCAGCAGCTGGGAAACTCAGCAAACACTGGCAAAGGGAAGACTTGATGTTGCACAGGGACAGATCATGGCTGTCCAAAGCTGGGAACTTGCCCATGCTGAGCAGTCCTGCCTTATCGGACAAGCAAGCCAACCTCAATGCAGAGCTGGTTCTCAAAGGATACAGTGTGTCTTCACAACTCCTTAAAGCTGAATGTTGACAGCCAGCTTGAGTGCAGAAAATTACCAGGGATTTATTTTATTTATCAAGTGTCTACCCTGTTAATTAGCCATGAGAAGAACAGAGTATTTATCCTGGAAAGCTATGTTTCCTTTCTTGTTTTAATGTGCAGGGAATGTTGTTGAACCAAAGAACATTCATATAACCCCTCATACTTGTAGAGATCACAAACAGGTTTGCATCCTGCATTGCCTGGGAGAACTTAACAGTAGCATTGTTGAATTTTCCCAGAAGTGAGGGTGCTTCCAGATGGGGTGCCTACTGCTAATGATTAAAGGCACCGATTGACTAGTCTATCTTTTTCTTCTTAATGGATATTTCACACAATTCTGTGAATAAAGGGGGCAACTGCATGGAAAAACCTCAGTTGGCAGTACTGTAAGTGTCACTGCATTCAATGTGGCTTCATCCCACATAGATGTCCATAGGCTATCAGGCTGAAATGAGATTTGGAAGCAGGAACATTTCAAGAACTCAAGTATCAGACTAGAGGAAAAGGGTGTGTCTCCTTTCTTTTCTTTTTTTCTTTTCTTTCTTTTTTGTGGGGAGGCATGTTAGAGGAAAACCTACATTTCAGAGTAGTTGCCTAAATTCCCCATGAGTGTACATTTGCCTAGATCACAGAGTCAGACTCCTGGGACAACCTGGGCTTAATGTTTATGAACAGTATTTTTATAAACCAGAGATGGACAATTCATGGCCCTCCAGATGTTTTGACATCCCATCAGCCTTATGGGCATGGTGGGGAAATGAAAAGTTGCCCACCTCTGTTCTAAATGCTGGCAGATCACTGCTGCAAATAGGAATAATTAAACAAATTTGAGACCTTCTATCCATGAATTACAGCTATGATTTGTCAGTGGGAGTTCTTGGTTTTCACATAGTACTAAATAAACCATGGATAAAAAGTCAGTGGTTTGTTTCACAAGTCTGGCTTGTAATGTATAAATTGTTTCTTTGTTTGCAGATAATAATGCAAGGATTATTTGAACTTTTTAACATTTACCCAGGGGAAGAACATGTATTCATATTTTAAAATATAGTCAAAACTGCCTGGGCAGTTCACAGATATCAATCACTGAAATAATTTAAAAACCATTTATATATGAACAGATAGCATATACCCAAATTTATTTTTTCATTGAATCACAGTAAAATTAAACATCTATGGTTAAAAAAACCTAAGGAAAAAAAAATGAAAGAATGGCTGCTGAAAAATCCATTCATGGTGGACCAAAAGTCATACAAAGAATCTGTCATGTTTCACTCCATGCTGGTAACAACACTTTGCTTTGTTAATTCTTCTGTAGAAAATAAGATGAAAGAAATAATTGCAATGTTCAAAAAGGATTTTAATGATTTTCATGGTATTGTGTGATGCAAACATATAAAATGATGTGAATTTCAGCCTTCTTAGTATTTTAATTATCTCATAAATTTCTGCAAACACATTATTTAAGGCGACCTGGCATCTGGGCAGCCACAAATGCCATGATATGGAAGCAAACAATTCTTCTGTCACCTCAGCACTGAAGCACTGGCTTCTCAGTTCCAGGGCTTTAAAATACATTTCTGGCTCATTTTATGAGCTTCAGTTGGCCCTTGAATAAAACCTCACCCTAAGCCATTTTGGCTTTGCTTGTATGATAGGCTTGGTATTATTTTATTGGGAGTATAAATGCCACTGGGAGAAAGTGAATTTGGCTGAGTCAGGAGACTTCAAACAAAACTTTGGTGCAGATTGGAAGCCTTGCTGCAGAACATCTGAGCTTGCTGAATATCCACTTGCAATGGAAGGTAAGCACTTCTGAGCTTTCAGCATTAATATTTTTTAATGCTAAGTATTTCCTTTATGATAATAATATTGCCACATAAGCTTACATTCTGCTTTGTGGGTGCAGTATTTGCAGAGCAGTTGGATGTATATTACAGCATATTGTTTTTGCGGCAGCTTCTCAGGGTAAATGGCAGAGACTTAAGAATTTCTAGACAGAGCCATACTTATGATCCTTTTTGTTCCAGCTAACTGGGTGCCCCGGGAAATGGGAAAGAAACAATGGTGATATTCACTCCTGTTGTTTTATTTATTTATTAAAACATTTATATCCCATCCTCTCTGCTGAGTGGCTCAGGACGGCTTACAGAGCCTGTTATGTGTGAATATATCTGATATACCTTCCTAGAAGAACAGATGCTTGATGTCTGTCTTTTGTTTCTGATTGCCTCTGTCTGGCCTGCTCCTTTCACCATTGTGGGAAGTTCTAGAAAGTATGGAGAAGGATGCATCCCCAGAATCAAATGGCAATGCAAATGTGTGTCTCTTTCTAGATGTAGCCCAAAGTTTAGTATTTATTGTTGAGTTCTGACTCTTGAAGACACAAGTCAGAAAGCCTAACATGAGCAAACCATGTAAACAACTGGAAGAAACAGCTTCACTTTTGGAGATTACCTGGACTGATTGGACCTGAACAGCCCTGGTCTGAGATTTGGTATTCACGTTATCATCATGAAAGTTGCATATCTTGTTCTAAGAAAAAAACAATCTGTGATTTACTTATTCTGTATGTGTTGCTTCTATGAGGAACCTGTTATCTAGGAAGTCCGTGAAGCACAGAGGAGTAGGGATTGTAAAATTGCTTTGAACAATGCTTAAGAGCATAATACAATTAAACTGATGGTGGAAGGAAAAGTTTAATGAGAGCCAAGGTGCTAAAATAAGCAGTAAAAGACATATCTCAGCATGTTACCTGGAATTCCAGGGAAGGCTAGACAGGACTAAATTTGGCAGTAGCTAATAAACAGTGCAGTCAGTGATGGAGAGATCTAAATAATAAGATGATGATAGGCAATGGTCTATGGACAGGTTCCAACAAGGCCCATGTGCTAGTAGAATCCACCATGAATGCAATGGGAACTTGGCAGATCTTGCAGTAATTGGAAATGGGGAAAATGCTGTTTTCCAGATTGGAGCAGAACAGTGGAGCTTGGTGACCCACTTCAGAAATGTGTGTTTCTGCTCTTTTCTGGGATCACTGTTGGAAGTGATAATTCCTCCTGTGCACACAGGGAAATGAGCAGGGCTTCGGTGGCAGTTCTGAATGCTGCCCTGCATTTCTACCTAGTGTGGATGGTTTTGTCCCCTTTTAAAGTATTATTTTCAATGAATGAAACCAGAGTTAAGAGTTACATACAGTATTTAATACATTCCGCATTAAATCAGTATTATTAAGAGGCTGGTGGCACATCCATATGATTTGAGTTGGCCAATCTCCTGCAGTGCATGACAAATGAGGACTTTACCTATGAAACTATGCATGTAAATCTGATGATTAACCTACAATTTGGATACGTCCTTTATATTAATTCCACATGTGATTTCAGCAGAACGTCTTAAGTCTCATGCCGAGCTGTTACAGGAGAGATTTAATCAGTCGGTTTGGATTGAAAGAGCTGCAAACCTGACATTATGGAGAATTAGTAGAAGAAAATCAAAGCAGGTTAAGCTCTGTGACTGATGAGTGTGAAAATATGAATCTCTGTCTCTTACCATCTTTCTTTTTTAGATATTGCATAACTATGATCAAAGAGTTTTCAGGACAGGATGGAAGAGAAACATAGGCACAAAACTTAAATCTGCCAATAGCTATAGGAACTCAGTGGGATGAAGCTGGTTCTATGTTTGTGTAGTTTGCAGATTGCTGCTAATATAAATTGTATGCTTTGGATAAAGGAATTCCTCTGGGAAGAGGTGATCCTGTTATCTCTTAAAACAGTGCAGTGCTCTGTGTCCTCTGCCAACATTTAATATATTGCAGTATACATAAATTCCTGAGAGGACAGACACATTTGTATGTTGCAGGTAAAGCAGAAAAGCCTTGTGGGGCCTAAAACACTATGGGTTGAATGTAAATCTAGTTGTGCTTTGAATACACTCACCGAAACTAATGAAGCAACTTAGTCATGACTAATAGACATCTCATTGCCTTCACTGGATCTACTCTAAGCATGGCAAAATACATTTTTAAATGTTAAACTAATGAATTAATTGGTTTTTAATAATTTTGTTTTTCTACAGCCCTCAGAGTGGAAAGTGTAGACTTAAACTGTGCTCAGAATTGCACCAACCACAACACACAGTTCTTTAGTGACCAGAAACTCATTGTTAGGCGAGGACAAACCTTTGGGTTTTATGTGCATTTCCAAAACCGGGAATGGAATGATGAGAAGGACAAGATCACATTCACAGTGGAGACAGGTAATTCTCACAGATGATGGGCACATGATCCATAAAGTCACCAGAGGCCTTTCCCTTCTATTGAATAGTATAGCAATCAGAAATTTTAAACTAAAATATGTTGTTTAACATAGTTGCATGCCTCCAGTTTCTCATACAAATGGAAGATCTTTCAGCCAATTCATAATTTATTTTCTCTGCATTTATATACTTATTGTATTTATATTCTACCCTCCCTTAAAAATAGCCCACGGAAGTTAAGAACCTTCATTATTCATTATGCTAATATGAATGATCAACCTCACATAAAAAACCAAAAACCAAAATTAAGCATAGTGATTAAACAGCATTATTTACAGAAGCTATGCAGCTGTTTCTATAAACAGGATACACTGACCATGCAAAAATATTGTTTTCATTGAGGGTATCCAGTGTTCCATGACTGGACTGTCCTCTAACCCTGCTTGCACATAAATAGGTGTTTTAACATTAGAAAAAATGCATGTATGGTCATGTTCTGCTTGAACCTCTGCTTGTTGACTCACAATAACCTTTTTCGGAGTTCAGTGGCTCACTCTCAATGAAATGGGAGTGGTCTGGCAGCATCATTGAACATATGGGGAAATTGCCAATAGAGACAACAAACAAAGCAGAACTTATGCATAGCAATCCTTTGCAAAAATGTTAAGTATTCCTTATTATTTGTTACCAATAAATCAATTTCTTCCTTGGAAGCCATCTTAGTTACTTTCATACTCTTTCCATTGTAAAAAACTTAATTGCACTTAATTATTCATTGTTTTTAAACTTTCTTGAATAGGTCCCAAGCCTTGTGAATCGCTTGGAACAAAGAGCATCTTTCCACTAGGTGGATGTCCAGATCAATGTCACTGGAATGCTTCCTTCAAATCCCATGATGCAAAGTGCCTCCGTGTCAACATGTTTCCACCTGCCAATGCTTGTGTCGGCTGCTACAGTCTGAATATGTGTCTGGTGTCATGTGATCACACAAACTCCCAAAATCTGGGAGATTTTTATGTTCTCTTCAACCCCTGGTGTTCTGGTATGAATCAATATGGAACTTGCACAGTAGGATGGTACAGCTGAATGCTTACAGACACACATAGTTTATTAGTATTTATGTCTAAGTTAAGCATTTGTATGGAGTTAAGATGCATCTTCATTTCAATCAATTGAATCAGAAATCAATTGAATCTATAGGCAGGCATCAGTAAGTAGGTAGGCATCAGGACATTGCATATTTGAATAGAAAGTACACTCTCAAGTTTTTATAGAATAGTGGGCTCAAATTACAGGAAACCAGATTTTAGCTGGACATCATAAAAGGCTTCCTGAGTGTTCCAGCAATGGAAGCAATTATCTAGGGAGGTTGTGGGCTCTCCCACAGTGGAAGCATTCAAGCAGATGTTGGACATCCATCTGTCAGGGATATTTAACTTACACTGAGCAAGGAGTTGGACTTGATGGCCTTATAGGCCCTTCCTAACTCTTACATGAGTCTATGAGAAGTTTACTCGGAAACACAGACCTCTCTCTGTCTCTCTCTCTCTCTGTCTCTTTCATAAATCTATTCCTTAAATGGTATTTCTTTAAACCAGCAATGTAAAGAAGAAACTTCACTTGCTAACATTTCCATAGCCACTGATTCATGGGTAAACTCTCCATTTTGTGGAATATAAATTAAAAGCAACTTGGAAGTGGTGTTTCACCCATGCATCCATTTTGCTCAAGCATTTCACCCTTCCATAACTCACAGTTGGATTTGTGACTTGTCTCCACTGAAAAGTACTATGTTTAAGGTGCTATTAATTACATCAAAATTCTGTCCTTGATATTGGATCAGTCCTACTGTTTTCTTAATGACCTTGTCTATATTACTTCTTTAGATGACCCTGTGTATTTAGACAGCCAAGATCAGAGAGAAGAATATGTTCTAAATGAGCATGGGATTATATTCCAAGGTCTTCCTGAACACATAACAGCTCACCCATGGCACTTTGGACAGGTAACTGCAACATTATGTATCATGTGATTTGCATTAGCAAATGAATCAGTGTCACTGTGCACTTGACCAAACATTGTCCAGAAGAAGCAGACCAAAAGTAAAGTGGTTGCCATGAAAAGCTAGATTTATTTATTTATGTATTTATTTAAAACTTTTATATGCCATCCCTTATGCATAGTATCTCAGGATGGCTTACGAACATTAAAATCAAAATACGATAAAACAATCCAGTATAATAAGTATATGACTGGATAAGTATATCCAGTATAATAAGTATAACATATAACCAGTAAAATAAATTAAACCACAAGTGACTGTTAAAACATTTAGATACTAATTTTTAAAATAACACTTGAATTAAACAGTTTTATTCAAAAGAATATAAACTTGGTGCCAGGCGAACTTCTCCGGGGAGCACATTCCATCATCTGGGCGCCCTCCTTCTTCAAGGAGGATTCCTAGAGCACGGCCTCTCCCAGAGATCTTAAGGGGTGTGAGGGTATATAAGAAAGGAGACGTTCTTTCAGGTATCCTGGTCCCGAGCCATTCAGGGCATTATAGATGAAATCCATTCCAGAAAAACTCTTGAGATCTGCATGCCAGTGGTTGGTGCAGCCAAAGGAAAATAGAAGCTAAAAGGGGAAAGGAGGCAGAGACCCACTGTTGTTATATGTTCAGAAAATAGGAGGCCAGTCCAATTGCCTTTCTGTTTCCTTTTTAAAGTGGGCATATTAAAGCTCAGCCGTATAGATCAAATCTGGCACATATGGGGTCACTTTTTCCCCAGATGGCCACATCCTCTTTCCCTGGGGGTCACCTTCTCTCTTTTCTAGTTTTTGCACATTTTTACTTTTCTAAAAAGTTGCCTCTCCTGTGGCTCAGCGACTGGGAGAAAGAGTCCTAAGCTAAATTATGCTGGCATTGTTGGTATTTGGCTTCCTCTCTCCCTTTGGCTTTGCCTATGTTGTGGAGTGGTGGGAAATGAAGTTGAGGTCCAGTCCTACTATTTCTTCTCAGCTTTTCATGAAGCATTTCAAAGTATCTGTGCATGAACAAAATCATAGCTTTTACTATTCTAGGAAAAGCTTTGCATACATTGTTCAGAGTTATGCATCCAATTCCAAGACCTAATTATTAGGACTGCTTCCAGTGTTATATGGGCAAAATGACAATTGTACACATAATTACACTGTAGTATGTCCCACTGACTCATTGGGACTTATTCTCATCTTAATGTTCAGAGAATCACAGAGAATGCTCTAGGAGCCATTGAACTTAGTCATACTTGTAAGCAAACATGAATAAGATTGGGATGCTAGCCTATAAATTAGTTCCATGTCTAGAAACTGAAGCAGAGGAGTTAATTCTCAAGTTCAGATCCAAGAAAAATACTAATACTGTCCAGTAACTCTGTAATTCTCAGAATACGCAGATCAAGCAGACACTTGTAAAAAGTATTACTGCCAAATTTCAGTGAAATCTGCTATAAAACACAGTGTAGTCTTATGCTTAATTATTCTGAAGCAAGTCCACTGTGTTTAATTGGCCTTACTTTTTAGTCGATACCTTTGGAATTGCATCATCAGTTCTGTGTGATTGTTGAGACAGGTAACTTAATCATGAGCATATTTATTTATACATATACTCCATTGATTCAATGAAACTTCCTTCATAGTAAGTGTGTTTGAATGGTAGTTTTGTCATACATGCATTTAATGGATTTAAAATTCCAGACAGAAAAAAGTTACCATTAATTTGCCTTTATTATTCCACAGGAGGCTTTTTGTTTGTTCATTTTTGGTTGTCTTGTTTTTTTCAGTTAAGGGCAACACTTCTCTTTCTTCAGTATCCTAAAACTAAAGAAACAAAACAATGAGATAGTGCTTAAACTGATGTTTACCAAAGGAGTGGTCCAGTGTCATATAATTCAGAACATCCAATGTATTCTGCTGGCACAGTGAGAAAAAAGTGAAAGAATTTATCTTTGCATCTCTGATGCGTTTTTAGCAAGTCGAGTGGCAGAAGCTAGAATGCTTCAGAATCAAGAATATCTTTAGCATCTTCCTGTCCTGTCATGTTCTCCTTGTTCTCATGTGTTTCTTTACCTGGGTACTGAGCTCCAACCTCAGATGACAAAGCTACCATGTTTTTTTCTTTGGTGCTTCAAGGGACATGCTAAACACTTCCATTCAGGTATCTCTTTTCCAAGATTGGATTGTCTCTATGGCCTTGATGGAGAAATGCTGACAATATGGACCCTGTATTGCTCTCCACAGACCCTAAGACTGCATCTTAAATGTGTCCTGGACTTTGTAAAAATGTCAACTAGTTTACATTTGACACTGGCACAGTCAGACAGAAAAAAGCCCTTCTACTCCCAGCATTCCCCACCTAACTTGGCTGAGTAGTTATGTGCAGGAATGTGCCCTAACTTATTGAAGTAGTTTCATATTTCTAAGATATAACAAACACAAGACATCTTGCTTGATTGCTAGAATATAAACTTAACATGTTTATATTTTACAAACGTACCAAACCTGTTTTGACTGGAAAAGTCAAGTGGCGAGATGGCCCAATTCAGCTGTCTAACTGTGACACTTTAAGGCCATTGAATTGCTTTGCTTACCTTCTTGGTGTGTGCTTCATTACCTGCCTTGCTTTTCCCAGGCAATCCCTTTATATTTCTTCTTGCACTCTTGTTCTCTGTTGCAAAAAGAAAATTGGTTTTCTAGTATTTGTTTCATGTGCTTCAGGATGAATATTCATATTTCCCTGTGTTTAGTTCCAAGATGGTATTCTGGACATCTGTCTGAAAATGCTGGATACAAGTACAAACTTCCTGCGTGATCCTGCCATGGACTGTTCCTGTCGAAATGACCCCTTGTATATCAGCAGGGTGTTGAACAATATGGTAAAGCTTTATTATATGATTAATGGAACTGAATTTGGTTCCTTCCTTTTCACCAAAAGCAGAACATTTTTCATAAGTAAACCACACAGGTACATTCCCTTAAATCAGTCCTTGGCATTGATTTCCCCTCTTTCTCTGATGATCAGCTTTGGCTGGGACATCACAAGACTGTCAGTGTGCACAATAACAGGAACAGTCCAGTCTTGTTTACATTTCTAGTGAGCTCATAATAGAACTACTGGAATGACATTCCAACCTGATACTGAAAGTTAGTTGTTTTTTCCTACTCTGTCAGCAATACCCTGTAGAGCTTTGGGTACATTGGATCCAACACGATCAGAGTACTTCTTTGTTTGGGCCCCTCACTCTTAGGATTGGTCCCTTACTCACATAAAACAGTTTGCAGATTGTTTGTCCACCTTCTCATGCATGAAAATGACAATGGCTTCTTTGGAAAAATGTATGCCTATAAAATGGAAGGAAATTCGTATTAAAATAATCTATAATATTTACAGGTGCCTTTCCAGATAGAAGGCAATGTATCCAGGCACATGGTGGCCACATTGCATTGTTGTTTTCATGATGGGAATGATCAGTGATTAAAGAATGATGCAAAATGAAGATGTAGCAGCGAATGCTTAACATCAGTACCTCATTGTTTTCAGATTGGTTGTCATAAGAAGAAAAGCATCCTGAAGCTTCCATCCAATAATAACCTCCTGCAGGGACTCAGTCCTTTAACATGGAATGGAAGTGTCCCTATCCTTCGGCAGTGGTATCAGAGCAGATGTAAACCCATCAAATATGGAGATTGTGCAACTTTTGCTTCTGTACTGTGTACAGGTAAGGAAGGTAGACAATGTTTCTAAGAGACTAATTTGCTTTCACAGTGTCAATCTGTAACTTCAAAACCCAACATTATTTTAAGATGATGGAGTTGGGAAGTAGGAACATCTTGCAACTTTGGTTGAAGGAATTGTGTGAAAATGGAAATAATGTTTAGGGGAAAACAATGGGCATCATCCATGAGTGTGTGAATGGACTTCCATTTGCACAAAGAATATCCTATTCCTTTCCTCTCTCTGTCCCCTAAATCTGGTCTGAAATGTTCCCTTAGGAAGCAGACTCAGGAGATAATCTACGTGCAGACAGGTGTAGTCAAATACAGTACTTTAAAGCAGGGGTATGGGCCCAAGGCCTGAATCCAGCCTTGCAGGACTCATCAGATGGCCATATTTTTGTCCCCACTCCTTTTGCCATCAGCCTACCCACTGCTGGGTTGCAGCCCAGGGAAGCTTCTCCAAAATGTAATTTGGTCCCACTTGCCCATGCTTTAAAGCCTCTCTTCATGCTCTTTACAAAACATAAATAAAAATTCAGTAACCAAACCCAAGAAGCATAATTTAAAGAAAAAGCAGCATTTTTAAGAGAAAAGGAAGTAGCTTAATCAGATTTCAAATTTAGGAGAGTAGCTCTACTTGCAGTTTCTTGGGATGTCAGAGAATTCTGAAATAAAGTTATATGATTCTGGATTTCTGTGAATTCAGCATATGGATTTTGAAGTGAATGGACATCATCTGTGCTATGTGACTTCCTTCAAAATAAAATGAAAAAAAAAATGGAATGAAACTGGGTGTAAGAGAGTAATTGGAAAATATGCTATATTTAATATTTAAACCAAATCAAACCAAAGTTTTATATATCAAAAGTCTTTCTGCAGTCTCTGCTTCATGGCAATTTCTGTGTGCTTTGCTCATGCATTGCATGTAGAATAGAGAAAAGATGTGCAAAGCTTTGTTTACCACTGAAAGTTCCATAAAGTGTAGGAAAAATGCATATTATTCCAAAGCGTAGGGAAAATTCAAGCTATGAATGAACAGACGGAATAAAAGATACCTGTTACTATGTGAAAGACATGGAACAGAATTTGTGCAGGTTTCAATTTGTAGTACATTGTGCTCCCCATCATGTATACAAGAACATATTTGAAATGCCATGGTTATTTTGGGTAGCTTGCTATCAGAAAGCATGCTAGTGGAAGCAAATTTTGCTGAAGAAGCACTTGTAGACATAATTCATTTGCACTCAAAACCTGTCAGACTGTGGGAAAGGAATGTGTGACCTTCCAGATGTGGTTCAATTGCAGCTCCCACCATTCTTCATCACTGACGGTGCTGGCTGGAGGTAATGAGAATTGCAGTCTAACAACATCTGGAGAACATCATATCCCCCACCTTTGGCTTAAGTCATTAGGTTTTGGGTGGAAATGGACTGTATATAAATCCCATCCTGACATATGCATTATAATTGCAGTCCTTTGGCATATAAACTGTCCATTGTTGAAAGTATCTTTAATCAGCTGGTCCTCCCTATTTAATTGAATTTTTAATGTTTATGCTATGTTTTAATTAAGATATGCTTTTAATATGGATTTTATTGTTAGCTGCTGTGACCACCATTTTTAGTAGAAAGGCAGGATGGAAAATAATTAAACAGTAAATAAAGAAATGCAGGTTGGAAAACAGGCTTTCAAATAGCAAATCAGAAATGATATGATTTGGCATTTTGTGAGACTACAGTAGATTAATAAAGAAATATCCGCTATGCATATTTTGCAAGAGCATATTGAGAAAGCTGCATGTCCCTGGTGTTTGAAAACCATGTCTGTTGGCATTAAATACTGCTGGTTAGATTGTCAAATAAATATATAGAAATCAGATTGTAAAAAAATCTTTATTATAATAACATAGAATAGTAATAATATCTTAAAATCACTTCACAAACATGTTGCTGCACATTTCTCTTAAAAATCATTTGTTTTTTTCCTAACAGAACCAATGTGGTAACGTAAAAATTTATTCTCTTTAATAGGGTACTTAGTACAGTGCCAGTTGAATTGCAGCTAAAATGGGGCAACTAGGAAACAAGGCATTGCTATTAGCATGCTCAGATTAACCCAAAATATGCAGGAGTTGAATACTTTTTCATACGTCCAAAGGGAGATGAAATATTACAAAGCAGTCCAGAGAGAACTTATAATGCTCAGTGGTCCACAGGAGACCCCCCTGGGCATGTCAATTAGGAAAAGAAAAATAGGACACTGAGTGACACCATGGGAAGGAAGAAATTGAATTTGTCTGCTTGAGAGCCTTACAATTTAGGGCACAATCCTCTTCATGTTTAGACAGAAAAAGTCCTACACCTCCTAATTCTCAAGCCAGCTTTATAGAATCTTGGAGGAAGACATGTCTATTCAGGATCTGAAGAATGCTTCTGCTTCTTCGCCAGGAAATGCTATAATGTTTTGTTGCAGTTCCCTCTTGTTAAAAATGAACTTGATCAATTTGTTCAACTTGTTCCAAGTTCCATCTCAATTTGTTCTTCCAAATTTAGATGAATTAGGCTTTCCTTATAAGCAATGCATACACTTTGATTGTTCAGGAAAGAAGGTATGCTCCCCTCAGGCAAAAGACCTATCTGCTCATCAAAGTCTATATAGCTTGACTTGACATGAATTTTTTTTGCAAATAGTTACATGCTTCTTCCAAGAATTATAACCATGCCTTCTGTGAGATGGAAGTCTGCCCTCCTGCCTCCACACAGTTGAATTGTCCACATGTATGAACATTTCTTTACATGTTGGGGTGTTTCATCTCATTACAGTTTTGAGGTGTTTCGGAATTCCAGGCAGAGTTGTCACTGGCTTTTATTGTCCTGTGTATGCAGCTGACCCTCTCAGTGTCCAGGAGATTTTTGACTATACAGGCAAAACCTTAAATGGCAAAGAACATATGTGGTAAGTGTGCAATCAGCAAGGTGTTTTGACTTTTATTTGATATTTTCAAGGATGAAATTAAAGCAGTTTATGTCCAGCAGACAGATTACTAGATATGAGCGAAGAAAAGAGGAGGTACGTTCATACATCATATTAAACCACATGCAAATGTCATACCCAGGGGTTACCATATGCAGCACTTATTCTGATATCCATCCTGGCAAAAAGCATCTTATCTCCTCCTCCCTGCCCCAGTAGCTACAGTTTTCATTTACTCTTTATCCCCACCTCTTTATTTTCAAAGCAGCAAAATCGGGTTGTATTTTTTAAAAAAATACCCCCTGAAAATTGCACAGCTATATTCATAACTTTTAAAGTTAGTGTTATTTTTTGTCAGTCTTGTGCAACCTTGCTCATGCCTTGGTCTTTCACGTGTTGTTTTTTGCCTGGCCAGTTTCCGTGTCTGTTTCAGCTCGCAAAGGGAGCAGAATAGTAGTGTACTAAACACTCCAGGCAATTGTGAGCCTTCATATATTGGTGCACAGTAGCCAGGGACCACTTCCTGAGTTGTCAGTTGAAAAGCACTCATGAAGTATGTGGGGAGGGGACAGCAAAAAAGGGGGTATTTTCCCCTTAATGATGCAATCTTCACAATGTTAATGGTTCAGCTGGTATTCTCAGTGCTTTCCACCTTTCAGTACTTCCCCAAAGTTCCCAGCAAGTCCAGAATAGAGAATATTCGCTCTTTCCCCTTTTTGTGGCTCCTTTGCTGAACAATTATGGCTGTGGTTACTGTGGTTCCCTAACAATTCTAAAACAAAGCACAGAAATGTACACACATTAAATGGCTGGGAAGTAAATGGAGGGGAAATGTGTGCCAATTTAAGGTCTGAGAAGTAAATGGAGGGGAAATTTACATTCCTCCAGTAATTGATTTTCACTGAATCTCCTTTCTCTGTGCAATTCCTGACTTCTCCCAAGCTGTTTGGAAATCCTCTAACCCTCTGGAGCAGCTTTTCATTCAGTTCAGAAGAAACAACCTACAAAAATGGTTTCCCTCTTCTTCTAGCAAGGCATCTCTTCAAGAGAATTCTGCTCATAGGTATTCTGGATCCAACCCGGTATCTTTTGCAGTATGAAAAGTCCTTTTTATCTTTACCTTAGCATTCCATCCAACGCTGGATTTTTATCATAAATTACAAATTATTTTTCTGGGGCTGAAAAAGTGGTTTGTATCCCATAACAGCCTTATGCTCTCTCTACTTGTTTTACATGCTGCAGGATATATCATTGTTGGAATGAATCTTGGATGGCTGAAAAAGACATTAATCAATCTGGGGGTGATTGGCAATTTCTGGATCCAACACCTGTCGAGACTAGCAAAGGTAAATGAAGTCTCTTGCCCAATCCAGAGATAGTGAAGTGCAATAAGATGTTGTGTGTGTGTGATTTGTAACCTGAAAATAATAACTGGTGGGCTGATAGAAGAGGTCTGGCTATTATTTCCATGTGCATGACAGGTGTGAATGTGTATCTTCCTCTGAACTGTGCAATGCTGTGAGATTGCTTTGGCAAGTCCTTATGCTTATTTTGATGCATGTTCTATCAGGTTGGCAGCTTATTTTGTGCACAATAGCCTGTTTACATTCAGAAAGAGCATGGCAGAGCTTCAAAAGGTAGATTCCTTATCTGCCCCTCCTCTCTGCTTTGTACAGCTTTGTACAACCGGGAGGATCATTTTGAGTACATAAAATTCCCACTCCATACCTAAAATTTTGGATGAATGTTTCTGGGGGAAAAGAAAAAAAAAAGGAATTACCAAGGAGACTTGTAATATGTCACAAGCCTGTATCACTTGTTAGCTACCAATCAGAATATAGCAAAAACTAAGGTGTGGCAAGTGAAGTGCTATGGACTCTCATGTTAATGGGTTCCTAATGGTTAATGGATTCAAAAGTTAATCATGATTTCCTGTGCTGTCAGAATATGTAAGGGCTTTCACAGTGGAATAAAAAGGAATCTGAATTCTTTGAACTGATGAGTACGTTGTTAAGATAAATGTGAATTCTCAATTTAAAATGGTGGTAGCCATTATGTATAATATAGTTAAGCACTGTGGTATTCTTTATGCAGACTGTTATTAAAGAGCATGTTTGTCTTGGTTTAACTTAGGGTCAGTGTGCAGTGGTCCTATTTGGGTCAAAAGCATTAGAGATGGAGATGTAGATACTGACTCTGAAGGCCACCGTGTATTTTGTATGCTAAATGCAAGGAGTACTGCTTGGATTTCTCAAGGCAAAGGCAAGAAGACAAAGCTTCACTGTGATAGCGGGACTTCTGGGCAGTGTATCAGCACCAAGAGTGTTGGGAGTGATCTACGTGAAGATATCACTGATGCTTATAAGCACGAGTTGGGTAATGGCCAATTTATTCTATTGGGAATAGCAGAAATTGAAATGTTGATAATGGAAATTTTTTAAAAAATCATTTATGAATATACGTTCAATAATATTGTACTGCATTTTTCAATGGAATGTTATAGTTAAATCAAACAAACTAAAAACACAAGTACAAGGTGACCAGTACATACAATCATACTGAACCAAAAACCAAACATTGTAATTAAGACAGTTCTTCACTGAACAGCAAACAACTCCAAACATAGAAATGCAAGTGATTGGATTTTCAAATGACTTAGCATTCAAACAATTGAAATTCAAGCAATTTCAAATAGGGGCTAGTGTGGTATGAAGGGTAGAGGTTGTACTGGCATTTGGAGATCTCGGTTTTAGTCTCCATTTAGTCATGAAGTACGAGTGACCTACCTACCTACCTACCTATCTCAGCCAATCTACCTCACAGGATTGTTGTAAGAATAAAGTAGAAGACAAACAGACCATGTTCATAAGCCTGGTTAGGTTCTCTACAACAGCAAAAGGTGGGTTATAAATGTATTAAATAAAGACATTACAATAGTCATAGAGTAATCAAGTCTTTTCAGAAATAACTGTTGTCTTCAGGTATGCTGTACTGAAAAAATATTGTTTGTAAATATAAAAAGATAAGCCATCTGTCAATAAATGAGCCAATTGTTTTAATTATTCATGAACATTTGATGTGATTATTTTTTCTAGGTTCTGCACAAGAGAGAAAGGCTTTTTATAAAGCCTGCAGAAAAATTAACTCTCAATATCTCAATGCTCCAAATTCTGAGATAGACAAAGACATAGCATCCCACAGAAACAAAAGCTTGAAAGAGACTGGTATTACAATGAAACTTAAAATGGCTAATTGTCCTTTATATGGTCAAGATGTTCAAATGAACTGGGTGCTTGAAAACTTGTGTAATGAGAGTAAAGAAAGGAAGTTTAACCTTTGTGCTCAGGCAATGATGCACAATGGATGTGCATTGGACCAGCTTTGGAAAGACACTATTCATGTCACACTTGAACCAAAAGAAGGTATTTTTTTTTACATTTATGTATACTCACATATACTGGGGTATATCCAGATATAATCATATGTTATCATTTCTAAAGTTCCATTGATCTCAATTTTTGTTTAAAATTAAGCTAAAATATGATCATGACAACAAAGTCTGGGAAAATCACTGCTAAAAAAAGTTACAGCATTAGTGCCAGGTGAACTTACTTGCTCCAAAATCAGGTTACTACAATTGAGAAGGATGTTTCTTTTCAGGAGATGAAAACAAATGATAAGTAAAATCTAGGTAATTTGAGACCTTTAAGCCTGTCTATGGCAATTTGTTACATTTGTTGTGTTGTAAATATTCATTCCTGTGCATGTTTAGACAGTAGAAAAACTCTTACAACTCCTAGCTGTACTGGTGAGAAATTGCTGGGAGCTGTAAGACTTTTGTTTTGTCATTCACATGATTGTGTCTTTAGAGAAGTAAAGCAGAAAGGAACTCTACTTTCTAGTTATACAGTTTTGACTGAAGCCAGTTCTGTATTTAATCAACACAGTAGGCAAGGAGATTAAGGACCTACAAATTAGGTTCACCCTATCACTGTCAGCCTTGATGTGTTGGAGGGCTAACATCTAAGACTGGAAGGTATTTATGATACCTTCTCTTCATGTAAAAGCTTGGAGAATCCAAGGCCATATAGGAAACCTGAGCAACTAGGCAACAACCCCTGTTGTGGAAGTTATTCCTGTAACTCATAGAGTACAACAGGGACAGCAATTGTGGTTGGGGAGGGAGGGCAAGCTAAGCTACCATACTTATCTTGGCTTAAACACTAGTAGAATTCTGTCTAGCAGTAGAAGACACAGAAATGCAAAAATGCCTTTGGCATTTCTTTGAAAACACCTTAAGGGCACTATCCAGTAAGGATCCTCATAAGCCTCTGTATGTGGAAGACTACAGGTCCTCAATGAAGAGAAGGGGAAGTGGCCAGGACAATCTGTTTCCCTGCTCCTCATGCCCTGCAAATTAGCCAGATGACCATTTGTGGTTGTCCAGCTGAAGCTGTTCAGATAGGGAGAGCAGTGGCTGGAGCACTGCCAGGATGTCTTCTCTTCACCTTCTGGAAACCCTTTCCTCACTTTTCTAAACAGCTAGTTGTGAGAGGGGAGTTTCTTGGACCCCTATCCCTAAGTTAGAGCTCTTTTTCCACCCTTGAATCTGGGAATCTGAAGAATCCTATGTCTTGCTAAGAGGCCATAAGTTTGCTCTTCCAGTTTGATCTTCTAGCCTTTTCCTCAACAAATACCAGATTTAAATAATGTTACTTTCCCAGCACAGTGATATTATGCTCACTGAAATACATGAAACTTCATTGCAGAATTTACTTTTAGGAAACTTTGCTTAAGCTACAGCGTATGACATATCCATTCTATATGAAGCATGTACCAGCCTCTACTTAGTTTTCAGCTTCACATACATTTTTGAAAACAGGTCACTGGTGATCCTTTAGTAACTCACTACAAAAAATATCTACAGCTGTTTCTTTGAGTGATAAAACACTCCACGGCATAGAAGATTTAGCTAAACCTTTGATTGCATTGACAGTTGTACTAATATATTTCCATTTATGCTTTTATTTGGTCACACATTTTTTTGAAAAGCGGATGACTCTGGCCAGCACCTAGAATGGAGGACAAAACATTACATTTTCCTAGAATAGAAATTCAGACTGAAAATATGTTTATTACATTTTGTCTTGCAGTGAAAACAATCCTGATAGTGATACCATATGATAATTATGGATCTCACCTTTGTGATCACAATATTATGAGAGTGGCTGTAGTTTCAATGCCAGAGCCTAAAGAGGAAACCTTGATGCTGGAGAGGGATATCGTGATTGACAGTCTACCTGTTGAGATAAAGGTAAAGCTCCTACAGTGAACTAGCAAGAAGCCAGCAATAGGCTAACAGAATTAATGGTTCTATGTTTCTGTTTCCTAATATATAACCCACACAGACTTCAAACACCACTTCAAAAAGCATTCTAAAGCTTAATTTTATGAGTGACTAATACCTACCTTTCATTTGGTAAATTGTCCTGTACTCTCCATTTCCCCCATGTGCTGACAAATTCTAGGGGTATGATTATTTGAATTGTAGTTTCCTTCAGAGGTGAAAGTACTTTAAGCACATGGTCTTTTTGGAATCTTTAATTGATTTAGGGATGGATGAATCATTTTGGGTTTCTTGCTTTTCTAGCTTAGTTTATTTCTTTCCATTTCCATAGAAGCTTACTTTTTTTAAAGTTCACATGAACACTTCTATGCACTTCATCTCTTCTATGATGTATGCAATTTTTCCTAAGATCCACATTTTTGATAAGCATTTGCTCTCTAATATACATAATTTTAGGTGTCTGTGCCAACTCCAAGTTTCAATTTGATCCTGAATGGTGGTGGTGGTGTGGAATTAGACCAAATTTAGCTGCTGCCAAATTTGTAGCTAAATCCAAAATCTCAGTTCAGAAATCTGAAGCTTCATGCTTTTTACTTGTTGTATAGGCTTAAGTTGCTTTTTCTTGGGGGATCAAAGCTGCTAAGGGTTAGCTGAATAATTATATGAGAGTAACAGTTCTGGTTTGAAAGTTTCCAAAATAAGGATACACTCAACCCCCACTCTTCTCTCTGGACAATTGTTATGGAGATGGAATGGAACATAGAAGAAACCTTAGCTAAAAAGCAGCAAAATTTCTGAAGGATAGATGCAGAGGTGTTTACAGAGGTGTAGCAGGAGTATTCAGATTGAAATTTGGGCTCATCTCCAGAGTAGTCTCTTCCCTTCTCTATTCTCAAACTTTCCCTCCTTTTTTTTGGTAGGGACATTTTGTATGAAAATGTCCTGTATCATACAGCTCTCCCTGGTCAAGAAAACTGCCAAATTCCTGAAGGATCTGTTCAAGGGATAGGGAGGTAGAATGAATGGAAAATAATTTGAGCCTTTTTGTTTTTGTTCAGTTAGCAAAACAATTTAGATTGGGATCTAAGAATAAGTGCTCTTTTAATTTAATTTAATTTTTTACTAGATTCTAGACCAGCCCAAGCTGAATGCACCATGCACTGTGGAAGTCACCTTTTCTAATTCCCTCAACGAGGACCTCAGGAATTGTGTCCTGCACCTGGAAGGCTATGGATTGATTGGTGAAACAATCACTACTGAGTAAGTTAAACCACAAGACTTGTTTGAACCTTCCATGAAAGTATCCGCTGCTCTCGTTTCAGCTCAGTTCTCTAATTGTCTTACTCATATTAGCCTTGTTCAGAAAGGACCAAAGTACACATTACAGTCTCTGCTTTACTCTAGAAAAAGCACATGAGGCCCTGAGCTGGATGCCGGCATGAAGGTAGGAGGGCTTTTGCCTTTCTACAGATCAGACCACTTGATAGTAATTAATTTGCTTTAATGGATCACTCTTAGCTATGTAAATTGCAGATGTGGATTTCCAGTTCAGGTTGGAGCTGCCATGCATGTGTGCAAAGCCTAGATATTTCTACCACCCATGCTAGAATGCAGATTCAGCTCAGGATCCCGGTGCTTATTCTAGAGTCAAAAAACAAACAAACATACAAGGTATAGCCATTTGCTATATCTTCAGGAAAATATGTGATTGGATTAGCCCTATATTCCATATGCCACCCCGACCCCCCACCCCAAAAAACCCCGATGTACAGAGTTCATTAACACACACTGTCCTTCTATTCTATTTTGCAGATTGGGAACACTGAATGCTAAACACAAGGCACAAACCTGTGTGGAGTTTACTCCCTATCGTCATGGCAGACACCAATTAATTGCCAGTGTCAGCTGCCATAAGTTTTGTAACTGCAAAGGACATGCCACTGTAGATATGGGTAATCCACCAACAACTTCTGGAGAAGGAGGTGCATAAGCAGTATCTCAGAGAATTCTAAATTTAATATGTTAATAAAGATATGTATTGAAATTTTGTCATAGGGAATTGGGTTAAATGAAAGGTGCATGCATTGTGCATATACTGTATGTCTGTTATGAACTAATGTGAATGTGTTTTGAGGAAATAGAAAAGGGATCAAATATAAGGGCAAATTAATGTATGATCTAAGAACATTTTTACGGCTGTCATCAAAATAAAAAGTTTTTTATGACTGCCTTAAAAACATTGGGACACTTTAATATTTTGGCAGTTTTAGTAATATGCACTAACGTTTGTTGGATGCTCAAATACCATTTAAAGATTTCCCTAAGCATATCCAGGTACTTTCACACTTTGCAATGGGTACATAATGTATACAATTACACATGCATTTGATATGGCTATAAGCCGATCACGACCAGCATTTGAAAAATGCATCTGTTTACTTGTGCTTGTGACATATGACATAGTTAATGTCATAACTGACATGCTTATTTGTGCATAGACCCTTCAAACTCTGCCAAGTATACTGTTCAAAACTGTCTATAGGTTCACTATACCTCATGCAATGATATCCATTGGTTTCTTAAAGAAGTCACTTGAAAGTTTGAAGATCACCACCACAGTTAACCTTAGTTGTGCTTGTACCACCTCAAACTTGAAATCAGGACTTTATAAAAATAGTACTGAATTAGAAATTTTCTAAATAATAGAGATAAATTATTGATAGAAGTTTTCTCTGAAAAAACTCTGGTTTTATATTTCATAGATGTCTATGGTGTCTAATTGGTGATTATTACAATAGTTCCATACTCCTGAATGTGTATATTTTCATTTTGCTTGCTAAGAAAATTTGGATTCTGTCATGGTCATATTTATGGACCCCAACCCTAACCCTTATAAACTAGCTTGAATCAGAAATTGTTCACATATTACTCAATGGTAAATTATGATAGGGATGACCTAGTGCATTTTGGGAGGTCTTCCTAGCTGCATATAGTGGCTGGGAACTCCACTGGTGGAGCAGACTAGTCTGTTTTTAAATAGCATTCTCCTGTTGCCAAGGTATATCTCAATGGCAAAGTTGCCATTAATTATGAGTTTCTGGCACTGCACTCCTTGATAGCACTACTCCTTTGGAGATACCATCCAGCCCAATGGAGCTCCTCAGACCATAACCCTTTCTCCTTTCCCCATCCTTCCGTTCCCAATCATTTAGTGGTTTCCCAGTTTTCACCCTCATTTTGAAAGGTTCAAATGCCTCTACTAAGCTTGACAGTTATAGCATTCCATTGTAACATGCTTGGTATTTTGCCCCCAGCCTCTTTACCTTCAGTCCCTGAAAACATTACCAAAATTCAATTTGGCCCTCAGTTGAAAGAATCCTTTCATGGAAATAATTGAACTGGAGTTCAGAACAGTAAAAGTGAAAAAAGTTTTAGGATTAATTTCAAATAAAATAATTTGTGATCACCTTCCACAATCACCTCTTTGAAGACATTTGTACTTTTGAAGTGAAGACAGCTTTGTTTTTGGAAAATCGCTGAACTGCAAATGATCAGATGACCATTTCGGTCTTAGCATTCTACTATTCCAGCTTTAGATATTCTCAGTACTAACCTTCTATTATTGGTTCATATAATTCAAACTATGTTGTCACCATAAGAAAGGAAATTCATGATACTAGCAGACCAGATCATTCCTGATGGGTCAGGATAGTTTTCTGGTTTTCTCATCTCTGATTTTGCTTGTCTTCTAAGGGTGCTGGTAAGTTATGAACTATGCAAATCCAGTGCAGAAAAATGAGTTCTTAGTTAGATTGCATAGATAAATAAAGTATAGTGTTACAGGCTTGTTGTTCTGTTATGTGTTGGCTTGTCATGACTGGATATTTGATCAAATACTTCAAGGTTGCAATCTTGTACACATTTTCATGGGATGAAGTCCCATTGAACTCAAACTACTTCAGGGTAGAGTTTTGTACCATAAAAGACTGATTAGGTTGCAGTTTATGCCCCTAAATATACCAAGTAACTTAATAGACCAGTTTACTTTTCAATTGTGATTGTCAGTGTTCCTAAGATGTGTCCAGTTCTTCCTTCCTGCAACTGGTAGCCACCCAATTTTGGTGGAGTTCAACTTCCATAATCTTCTAACCAGCAGAGTTGAAGTCCAAGACTTCTGGAAGATAACAGACTGGGAATGTTGATTATTTTGCTTTTCAGTCAGTGATGTGTTGGCATCAGCACCCCATAATACCTGTTTGTTAGTACATGTTTATATCAAAACACCAGTATTAAAAATATCCAGTTCCTACTCTTTTTCAGAAAAATGAACACTGTAAAGTTTTCCAGAATGTTCCACTGTGTAGTGAAGAGACAATAAGAACCAGTATCGTGTTGGAGCAGTAGCTGTCTACACAGGCGAATGATTACCCTTTTATTTGCTTTTGCTCACAGCAGATATTTTTGAGAATTTTGTCTAGGCTTCTTATCAGTTATTTATTGCACCTTCAAACTGTCAGTTAACCCATATTCTTGGTTCATGTTCTGCTTATGTGTTTCATTCCATGGTGTATTGGATAAAATAAGGTCCTAAGGTCATTTCTTCTCATATGTTACAGATATAATTTACCCAGTCACTTTCTCTACAAGACAGATTTTTTAGTGTGAAAAGTTACCCTGCAACTCCCTCTGAAAGTAACTATTTTCCAATTAAACATATGTACTTCATTTACACAGGTGAAACCACATTCAGAAATTTGGTATGAGAGAAATAAAGCACATTGGAACAAAGATAACCCAAGAAATGGCCAATGTAATCAAATCCAATCTTCTATTTCTGCCAAGAGTTTGATTAGGTTGCTTTTGTATAATTAGTTAGATGTAATCAATACCCTTTTATTTATTGCAGTCCTGTGGGTTTCACTGCTATTTTTTTTTCTTTTTCATAAGTGAGTCTAAAGATTCAAAACATGTAGAGCCCTTCATGCTCCTTTCAGAGATCTTCAAAGGAAGAAGAAAAACACCCCCTAGGACTTTGAACTGTGAACTTTTCTTTTTCACTTAGTACTGACTGCTAACATGCTCATTTTTCCTCATTAAAAGCAAGCCACAAAACAGTCATACAGCATACTATAGCTCAACTGTTTGAGACTTAACCAGTCATAATACAGAAGTAAGACCAATTCGTTTGAGTAAGCTTCCAGATAAGCTTCACACTGATTAAATACAAAACAGGCAACTCCTTGGGCTTTTATACTTCCAGTTAGTACATCTCACATACAGAAAACCTGCCATTCTTTCCCTGATACCAATCAAAGTCAGTTGTTTGGCCCTGCTTTGCCACATCCCACCAAGACTTAACTCTTATTTGGTCCCTACTTTGTCCTTGCTTTGCTGGATAGCACTGTTCAGGATTAGCAAGGACCCTATAGATTGGCAATCCTAACTACATTTCCAGCACCCAGTCCTTCCCTTATCCTTCTCTTCCAGTTTCAAATCATATACAATGGTTTTATTATTTCAAAACACGTAATTTGACAAAGGTAAGGTCAAATAGAATAAAAGTCACTTTTTCTATAATAAAGTCAGTCTTAATCTGATGGAAGTATTATTCTGGATCTGCCTCAAGGATGAACAAATGTGTCAATTTTGGTTTCTTATTTGTAGTTCAGTTCTAGTTCAAAGTTTAAATATTTCTTCATCTTTCCTGAGTGTTAAGTTTAAACACAAAAATACACTCTTGCATGAAAATTCATAAATATTTTTGTGGGCAATTCTAATAGCAGTCAAAGTAATAATATTTATTCATCTATTTATTATGTACTGCCTGATAGCTGAAATTCTCTGGGCAGTTCACAAAAATTCATAAAAAATGCAAGCCACAAATACAATTAAAAAGCATTAAACTTGAATATGCCCCCCCCCAAAAGGAGTGGATAAATAAAGAGATTTTAAAATAAATTAAATAATCAATTAATTTTCTTTAAATACAACATCAATGTAAAAGCCTCCAATGTGTCATCAAATTTAATGTCTTAGCAAAAGGCAGGTTTAACCAGGAGCTGAAAGGATATGTGTGGCAGCAGGTGTGTGTGTGTGTGTGTCTGTTGTGTGTGTTGATGGGGGTGATTCCATATTCATGGAGCTACCACTGAGGCCCCACCCTTTTTGCCATCTTCTGAGACTCACTGGCAGTGCCTATGTAGCTTCTAGCTGGGGAGCTGCTTGGGCAGGTATTGTGGTTTTCGCATTAATCACCAAGGCAGAGTCATGGTCATGCTTGATGAATAACATACTGGTTCTGGAGGAAGCCTTCAAGAGAAGGAAAGAAAGGGAAGGTGTTTCTTCCATTTTCAGTGCAGGGTGCCTTTCATGCCAACTTGTAATATAGTTTCCCCTAGGGCTATTGTGAAGTCAGCAGTCTCCTTGCCTTTTCTTGTGGCTGGCCTTTGGTGGAGTAACACTGCTGGTCTAGTTTGGTGGATCAGGTGTGGGGTACATCTAGATTTTTGGGATGGAGTCTGATGCAGGGATAAAGTTTGCTGCTTCAAGAGGATGTGAATTTGGATCTTCTGCAAATAACAAGGAGCTACCTGATTTCAGGAGGTGGCCGTAAGGGTAGGGGGAATACTAGGTTGATTTCAAAGTCAGTCCAATGTGAGCTGGAGGGATAGGATCTCACATCCTTCGCAATTTTTTTGAGTAAAAATATAATGTCTTTGGGGAGGGGCATTTAGTAAAAGATTAATTTTTCCCTGCCCTCTTCTATTTTCATCAACCATGGCACCACATTCATAAGCCTTTCTCTACAGTTATGGCAGCTAGAAATAGCTTTAAATGTACTGAAACCAGAAAAAGTTCAGGCTGTTGAATTTCAAGTAGAAATCAAACTCTACAATGCACCATGAAACTGTTGATGTGGAGAATATACAAAGATGGAGCTAGATGCTTATAAGACAGAGACCTGCATATTTCATTCTTAGTCCCATTCTT